TTTCTTGCTGTCTGGCTGACATCGGTAGCCTGTGGGGCCAGGAGTCATGGGTCCCCAGATCGTCCTCCAGGCCTTCTTTGCAGAGCGAGGCGCCCTAGGGTTCCATTCATTCTGGCTGGTCAGACTCCACGGAACCCCGGGTACAAGATGGCAACCTAGCGGCACCAGGGCCCGGGAGAGTCACGCCATGGGACTCTGGGAAAGTGACGGGAAGCCTCTGTCTCCACACGCGCTCCTTCCCATTGTGGTGACGCTCAGCAAAGTGCTCTCCTCCCCTCCCCTCGGGGCTGCTCCAATCCCAGGTAGATGGGGCAACGTCCGTTTCCACTTGAGACAGAAACGGTCTGCACTCGTGCCGCCTTCTCGGAGAGGGGCGTTTGTCACGAGAAGTGGTCGTTTCTTGTCGGGGAAGTGCCTTGCTGAGGCGACCTGGGGAAAGGCAACGCCATCCGACCACCGGCTGGCTGGCGGGTGAGCTGAGGGGACCCCAGAATTCCTCCACGTGACCCTGTGGGAGAGACGTGAGGTGACCCCAGAAAGGGACGAAGTCGGGGGGCTTAGGGGCACCTTCCGGTCCCTGTGTTGATCTTGTCCTCTGCCTGCAGAGCCCCTGGTGCAGAATAGATGCTCAGTAGACTGTTGTAGGAGTGTTAACTGATCCGTCTAAAGTTAAGAGGTTTGGGTAGCAGCATTAGCTGCCCTGACCTGAGTTTTGTCCTGCTTGCGCGTTACATGGGGGGGTCGCCTCTGCCCCTTCCTAGGCGCTGAGCACTTCTTTTTGGGTTATGGTCTCACTTTATGAGTACAAGGACATGCGAATAGATGTGCTGGGTCCCCAAGCGACTACCGATTGAACCTCTGCTCTCTAAGGAGGAGATCGAGCTCCTTCTGGAACCGGGGGGGGGAGGGGGGGTCGTCTCGGGGACAAAAGCCCTGGGATGGGAAGCAGGAGCCCCGCCTCCTTGTCTGAGCTGCGCCCCATCTCGCCGCTCGGCCCTGGGCGAGTTACTTCCTCTGTGTGGTTCTGTGACCCTGCGGGGCTCCCCTAAGAGATCCACGTTGGGTCTTGGCCCAGTGCTCGTGGCTCACAGGTCCCCGGACCTCCGGAGTCTCCCGAGCGCCAAGAGCAAAGGTGCATCGTGCCTTCCGATGTCTGCGTTTCCGGGAGAAGGGGATCCGTGGGCCCCTCAAGGAGCGCATTCGCTGCGGCCGTGGGTACGGAACAGAAGGAGCCAGAGTTAGCCGCGATGAAGAAGTCGGCTCGGCTGCTCGGAGGGACGCCCCAGACGTTGCAAGGAGCGCAGTGTGGGACGCCGATTGGCACGGTGGTCCCACCCGTCTCCAGCCAGCTTCTTCCCCGGGGAAGGCAGCTCCGACGGGCACCGGTTTGGGGTCAGAAGGCCCCAGACAGAGAGCCGGTTAAGTGGCCGAGGAAGTCAGTGGAGCCCCGTCCTTCTGCTGAGCGGAGAGCACCCGGGGCCCAGCCCCTCGCGGAGGGAGAGGTGTTCCCGCACTGGCTTCGGGGAGTGCCCTGCCGGCCCCAGCTCTGGCCACTGTCTGTGACCGCTGGCCTGAGAAAGCACCTTGGGCAGGCTCCCGCCCTTTGTGGCCTCGCCCCCCAGGCCCTCTCTTCACCTCCCCTGTAAAACATCTGCACACAATCCTTGTGGCAGGACCTCCTTCCGGGGGAGCCCAAACTAAGACGGATGTTCCATGATGGCGTAACCCCGCAAAGCCGGATGGCTGGGGGACGTCCCGATGACAGCCGGGCAGCCTGATGATGCAGCAAACCCTTCTCACACTCTGCATCCGCAGCAAAAAAGATTCGGAGTACCCCGCGCGGGTGTGCGTGGGTCGCAGTAGCTGCCCATTTGCGGGTGACCTAGGGCATCCTTTCTTGCCTCTGCGGGACCCCTGAGGCATCCTCTAGAAGAAGCCAGACGGAGTCGGGATGTTTTTATCCACGACGGTTTGCGTGCTGGCCGCGGGGGCTGGAGAACAAGGCCCACCCAGCCTGGCCCTTTCTGTTCCTCCGGCGCGAGATCCCAAGAGTCTCTGGAGACCTCTTCGTGCTCGTCTCTGTCCTTGGGGGCCTGGAGGGGCAGTGGGCAGAAGGACCAAGCGGGCTGCACCACAAGTGGAAAGCCCCCCCGTGGGGGAACCTATTGCCTTCCCGTCCAGCCTCTCTGGTTCTCTAACCACCGTGTTCCCTGTACCAGCCTCCGGCCACCTAAGGTTACAGGACCAACCGCTCAAGTCCACGGCCGTGGCTGGATGCGCCTCGGGGCCGGACGCAGTCCTGTGGCCACCCGCCATCCAGCGCGTCCCCCGTGGGACCTTCCCCTTTTGAGGCGCGGCCCGCCGCCCCCCCACTTACCGAGGAAATCGAAGCCGTGCACTGAGAGCCCGGAACCCCTCTCCATCCGAGCCGGTGCCTGTCCCACCCGCCTGCCTCCAGAGGAGCCCCTTCCCCAGGGCCCGCCCTGCAGGGTCCCCCCCTTGCACCCCTTCCTTTCCCTGCTTTTTTTCTCTCTGGCGAAATGCAACCCCCCCCCCCCCAACGGCTCTCCCCGGGGGGTTGTCGCTGCTCTGTCCGAACAGTGGCACGGCTTCTCCCCTCACACCTCCTGAAGCACTGATGTCCCTCGTGTGCGGAGAGATTTGGGGACATCGGATGCGAACTGGAAACACTCAGGAGAGCCAATAACTGCCCCCCCCCCCCCCCCGCGCCGGTTTGATTATGGTGTTAGGTTTTTTTCTAGGTTCTGGATCGCTGCCTCCTAGCTGGGACCCAGGCTGTGCAGGAGACCTTTCTCCCATCTCCCCTCTTCTCCAAGGCTGGGGGGACCCTGCGCCCGTTTCTGCCATCGGCGAGGGGACAAGTCCAAATCCCTGCTGGTTTCCTACCCAGGCCACCTCTCCCCACAGAGGGAGTCCCATCGGTGTTTTCTCACACACACGTGCGCACGCACACATGCACACGCACACACACACACACACACACGCACGCACACACACACGGTCATCGGCTCCTTAACAAACATACAGAAATGGCTCAAGCTGCAGCCAGCTTTTGGAGCAAACTTTTCCTTCCCTGCTACCAGTGGTGGGTACAGTTTTGTCAACGACTCTCTTGCTGTCCCTGGTCACACGCGCCACGAGAGACCCTGTGCCTCACATTCTGCCTTTTCTCTTTCCCTTTACTTTCCCTCTTCCTTTGTCTCTCTCTCTCTCTCTCTCTCTGTTCCTTCCTTCCTTCTCTCTCTTTCTCTTACTTAGAAGGTTAAGTGGGGCTCATCACTGCGTATCACAGGGGACGCTTAAGAGAACCCTGGGGCCCGCGGTTTCCATTTCACAGTACGTGGCTTTTACATTCATTTCTTTAACGTTTTCCGAGTGTCTCCTCGATGCCGAGGACACTGACAGGTGCTGGGGATACAGATGCTGCCACCATCCCTCAGAGCCCACGGAATGGGAAAGGACAGACCCACACAGTGGTTTGGGGTCTGAATGAGTGTATGTGCAAAGTCAATCTGGAGGCAAAAGACCCAGGTTTGAGACCTCGGTCTCCTCGTCGCTAATTCAGAAACCCCAGGGGGGTCCTGAAAGGCTGGGGCAGGTTCCCGGGAGAGGCCAACGTCTACACCTGACAGTGGGCAGGGTGGGACTTGGGGCCAGGAGTGCCAATGTCCGGCTTGATGTCCCTTTCTTTGGGACCTCCTACGGCCTCTCGCCAGGGAGAAGGCCCAGAGGATCCCCAAAGTGCAGCAAGAAAATCATTGCAAATTTGAGCTTCCTTTCTTCTTGGAAGGCTTCTACACGACGCATTTAAAAGCACCCACTTTCACGAGCATTATGTTTCACGACTGTCCCTCTGATGAAGAAAGCAGAGATTTGGAGAGAAACATTTTCCACCGACTGGGGAACTCATTAGAGGACGGGTGATAGAGGCAGCTTTGGGCCAGCGCGTCGCAGGATGAGGCAGGGGACGGAGGAGCCCGTGGCGACGATGCAGGTTTCCTAATCTAGTTTCCTAATTCTTCAAGCTCACGAATAATTTATGGAACAGCTTGAACTTGTTGCAGAGACGAAGTTTTTTTTAAAACCTCTACACTCTTCCCGCGACTGTTCTGTGCTGAGTCTCCTGTCTTTCCCCCTTCGAGGCGTCTCAGGCAGAGTCGTGATGGGGCGCCCGGGTGGCTTGGTGGGGAGGCATCTGACTTCGGCTCAGGTCACGATCTCGTGGTTCGTGAGCTCAAGCCCCGTGTCGGGTGAGCACGAGCCCCGGTGAGCTCCTCTTCTCTTTCTCTCTGTCCCATCGCTCACTTATGTCCCCCTCAAAAAAAAAAAAAAAACTGAGAAAATAATAAAACTTGGTGATGATGTTGAGTTCAGTGCTCACTGCATCCGGGTCTGGCCTGCCTTTTACAGCCCTGCTCTCCCTCCCCGGGGTCACCCTCTCCTCCGGGCGCGCTGGGCGTTGATGCTGATACAGCCCCTCCTCTGTTGCTCTGTCTCCATCGCGGCCATCTGGGTAGCAGGTGCTCGGGCGGAGCCTCCTCGGTGGGGTCCACGCGTGAGTCCTGTGGAAGGAGGGCCCTCTTGGAAGGGGCCTCTGCCCAGCACACTCCTCCGATGTAGGAGATCCATTCTTGCCCGGGGTGACCTCTTGTGATTCCCAGAAGCTCCCGCTTGGATGGTCTGCTCCAGAGCTTCCCACGGGAGAGGCTTCCTCACCTGCTTGCCATCCCTTCTGAGAGGCTTATGGGTAAGAAGGCTCAGTCCTGGCTACTGTTGTGGTGTTCGCCTCCCCATGGGAAATTCACGCGGCCTTGACTCTCCAAACTGGGAAATTCAGACCCTGTGACCCCACTTTCCACCGTTCTTTCTCCCCAGTTCTCTCCCCCCTGCCCTGCCATAGGCTGGAGGCGTGTCACTGCTTACTCCGTGCAAGCAGCCATGTAACCGGAAGTAAGATGCCCGTTTCCCGTTCTTTCCAGCTCCCCGCTCCCTGTGACCGGGTATCTGGGACCACCCATTACAGGTGGAAAAGCCCCACGCAACACCCTGCTGCGATTCAGGTGATGAAAGATTCTCACGGGATCAAACCAAGGTCTGAATTAATTTAGACTGAATTAATTTAGAGCTCGTCGGGGCCTCTCCTGCGTGGACCCCTCCCAAGGCCCTGGGAGGGGCCCTCCAAACGCGTTCCATGGTCATAAGCTGTTTTACAATGTGAACAAACAAGGTATTTTTAACCACATTTGGTTAAGACCACGGTGTCTTTCCACTCGGACTTCCCCTCTGCTCATTTCCGTTTTGTGTCAGCGGGCATAGGAGTGGCTGCAGGTATATTTGGGTCTGGAATAGGCTGAGGGATACATCTATTTTGGGTTTGGTGGGACCTATTTACATGATTCACAGTCACTTCCACGTCCAGTGAAACTGTCCTTCCCCATATCCGTATAGGAACGGCCTTCAGGAAGACTCATCGGTGCTGTGTTGTCACCACCCGTAGGGACACAGAGCACGGCCAGCACGGGAAGTGCGTGGTATTGGTAGAGAAACAAGGTTTGAAAAATATTCCGACTCAGCCTAGATGGTTGTCTATATCCAACCGTAACATAAAGTAGATTCCAAGGGATCCACCCAGATTAGGAAAACCAGTTCTGGTTTAAATTTATGAGACGGGCACCAAGTGGCTCAGTGGGTTTAGCATCGAGCTCTGGATTTCGGCTCAGGTCATGATCCCAAGGTCATGGGCTGGAGTCCCACGTCCTGCTCTGCACTGAGTGTGGACCCTGCTCGGGATTCTCTCTCTCTCTCTCTCTCTGCTCCTTCCCCACTCGTGTGCACACACCCACTCTCTCTCTCTCTAATGATATTAAATAAAGAATAAATAAATAAATTTATGATAAACGCAGTTATCAACTTAGGAAGACGAATTGCTTTTATATACGAAAGACACCTGACGGAGCTGTTCCCAAACTGTATAGCAGTTGTAAAACTATGTGATTCTGCTAACGATGAGTTGTGGAGCTGGAAGGAAATTTTTAACCTGTTCATAGTAATAAGCAATTTGGGTTGGCCATGCCAGAGGAAAGACGGAGTTAAATTTCTCTTGTTGCCACATACGATGATACTGAACACGGCCATCACGTGAACAGGACATCGCAAAGTATGGAACCGAAGAGGTAGGAAAAAGTATTACAGAGGGGCGTCCGTTCATTAGTGAAAATTATCTGTTCAATTTTGCGAATTTGTGGCATTGACGTCTTTTAAACTTTTGCGATCCGTTTTGAATTTTTCTCCTCCCTCGTTCGAAAAGCTCACTTTCATACTTAGTTCTTATTTAGTGACGTCGTATTCTTTTCTCTTTAAAAAAGATTTTTTTTTAAAGTTTATTTATTTTTGAGAGAGGGAGAGACAGAGTGTGAGCAGGGGAGGGGCAGAGAGAGAGGGAGACACGGAATCCGAAGCAGGCTCCAGGCTCCGAGCCGTCAGCACAGAGCCCGACGCGGGGCTTGAACCCACCAACCGTGAGATCGTGACCTGAGCCGAAGTCGGAGGCTCACCGACTGAGCCACCCAGGCGCCTCCGTGTTCCTTTCTCTTAAAGACAGTGTCTTAATTGGCTGAAGCTGTGGCATCACAAGCCTGGCTCATCTGCTGTTGGCAGATGACCCTTGGTCATCTGCTGTTGGCTGTTGCAAGGCCGTGCTGGTGGGGCTGGACTCCACCCTCCTGGATCCTCGAGGTTTTACAGCCTTGTTGAAACCACAGGGCTCCGGGTCTGTCCTCAACGCGGGTGAGGGTGTCCCCGGCCGGACTCTCTGCGTTTGACTCTTTTGAGGCCATACATCAAGAGCCATCTTGATCCCGACTCTTGGGAATTTGTCCTAGTCAGCTAATTCCTAAGAAGCAGCAGCTGGACCTTCCCGATGGCTTTACTACGTAGCATCTGTGGGGCAGCTCAGACGGCCAGGCCTCAGGACACAGTCAGAGCGCGACGGTGCGCCAGTCCTCAGTGTGTCCGTCGGCAGGAAAAGCGCTCAGAGCGCCATGCTGACCAATCTCCGATCACAAAACGATGCGTGCACGGGAGCAGCAACGTGCAAACACGTCCGCCTTTGGACAATGCCTGAAAGGCGGCAGGAGGGTTGCTACACGCAGGGTGGGAACGGGGTTTTGCTCTCTCTTTTTCCTTTCTCTTCAGTGCTGCCATAGGCTGACTTCGCATTTGCTCCCAAAGGAAAGAGACTCTGCCTGCTTTGGGCGTCCGCTGTCTGGGACCTCCCAGCTCACTTCCTTCTTTCCCCCCGCCCATTCTGACGTCCCAACCCACGCACGCAGGAGCACGCGCTCACACGCACACTGTCACACGCACACGTTTGCGCACGCTCACGCACACCCAAACGCACGCCCGCTCACGTGCACCTCCTAGCACCTCTGTTCTCCCAGCCACTGGCATCCACAGCGTTTGCTCCAGAACGAGAGGCGGGGACAGCCCTAACCCTTTCCACCCACCCGCCAACCCTGCCAAAGCTGAGTTTTCTGGCCTGAGCCGAATTGTGCCCTTCTGGGCATCGCCCAGGCCAGGCCTTCCCAGGACGTTGACGCAGGACGCCCTTGTCCAGTGCAGCACCTACTTCCACACTGGCTCCCCCGGGAACCTCTGCCTCGTCGGCCACCGAGCGTCTGTATACACTAGAGCTGCCTTTTCCCATCTCTAAGTTTCCGGAAGATTCCGTTCGTCGCTTCAGGTTAAGCAGAAAGGTACCAAGCATGCCTAGTGGCATCACCGCGTGTCTCTCCCCCCCCCCCCACAATGTCCCTCACGCCCGGGTGCTCCCTTCCTGACGGTGCTGACCCTCGGAAGACCCAGGACAGTCCCCAGTGGCTGGAGTAAAATCCACCTGATGGGCGTCTGGGCGCTTCCTTGCTGGGTGACCCGGGCAAATCACTACGCCTCAGTCTTTTTCCTTTACAATCTTGAAAGAGTTGAGCCAGGAGATTTGTAAGATCCCTCCTGGCTCTGGTTCCATCACTCGTGACCCATGAATCCTTCTCATTAGTTCTATTTTGGGATCCATCGCAGCACTGTGCCATGTGATGGCTGCTGCTGCCCAGGGAGGGGCTCAGATGCTCTCGGGGCAGCAGAGTCAGGAGCTTGAGCTCCTGCCTCCTGGAGCCCCGGGCTCCAGGGCGCAGTTTCCCTACAAGGGGTGGTTATTCGTTTTGGCGTCTGAGCACAGAGCGAACGCACAGGACTCAGGCTCTGCTTGTGGATGAAAAGCTCATGTTCGTGGAACCACTGAGGGCTCTGGTGATGTAGGGCCAGACTTCAGGACGCAGGCGAGGAAAGGAGCCTTCTCCTTCTCCTACTCGAGGCAACGGAGAGGACCGTTCGCCCAGATTTGGGGAGCCCAGGCGAAAAGCGTCGAAGATGTTGGGGAAGATGGGGGTTCAGCAAAGCCTGCGATGGACGGAACAGGGTGTTTTGCGGATGGATCACAGTTCCAGAAAACAGCATAAAGACCATGGAAAACTTTCTTTAAGGACCTGCCTCTTCCTTTGTTTTGTGGTGAGTACCGCCCGGCGAGCTGGGTACCCAAGCCAAGCCTGTGACAGAGACAAAGGAGGAGGTTGTAAAAGGGGACTCCAGGAGCACAGAGTCACGATCGCCTGACAGGTGGGTCCTGGGTCTTCTGAGGGTCAGCACCTTCAGGAAGGGAGCACCCGGGCGTGAGGGACATGGGGGGGAGACAGCACAGGAGACCCCCGGAGAGGCCGGGTGAGAGAGGCCGTCAAGGAGGTACCACTCGCTTATGCACACACGTTCTCCGCTGAGGAAAACCAGGCTGCTAAGGACACACGGTGACGAGTCTCAAGAACGGGGCGGTCACGGGCGGAGCTGTGCGCCAGGCTCCGTAGGCAATAAGACCCAGCGCGTTCAGTGCTAAATGTTTCAGAAAGGAGACGGGAAACCCCTGCCCGGCGGGTGCCCGGCACTCAACTGAGGGAGCGTTCTCACCGAGTAACTGTCTACTGACTGACCCCTTCCCTGGGGAGGAGACCCCGGACAGACACGCGCTGCGATGAGAAAACCGTTCAGGCTGGCTGCAGGGTGAGGTCGTCACCGAAGTGGTCCAAGGTTGGCAGGGTCTGTCCCTGGAGATCGGGAAGGATGGGATCCAGGAGCCCCTGACACGCACGTCCCACCCGGGGCAGGGAGCCAGCCTGAACGAGTGACCGGTAACCTGACAACACGACCTCTTTTTTGAGTCCCTTTTCCACATTGTGGGCTCGTGGGATGGACACCCAGAGCCGAGGGTCCTTCCCGCTCAGCCCAGGGAGAAGGGGCTCCCACAGGACAGATGGAACCAGCCAGGGAGGGACCCCACTTCAAACAGGGAAGTTAAGAACCAGAAAAACCATCGGAGCTGTGGTTGCCGGGGGCACAGACTGGGGACTGACCGGGAGAGCAGCATTGGGAAATTCTCCGGGGCCGCGGGAGAGTTCCCTACCCTGACGGGGGTGTGTGTGCTTTCCAAATTCATCAGGCGTGCACGTAAGATACGTGAGGGAAGTTTTAAATAGATATTTAAAAACAAGGAAACGGTGGGGGAGATTATTTAGAAATATTCCTGCGTGGGGGCGCCTGGGTGGTTCAGTCGGTTAAGTGTCCGACTCTTGGTTTCAGCTCGGGTCTTGACCTCATGGTTTGTGAGTTCGAGCCCTGCCTTGGGCTCTGCGTTGACCGTGCGGAACCTGCTTGGGATTCTGTCTCTCCCTTTCCCTCTGTTCCTCCCCTGCTCTCTCTCTCTCTCAAAGTGAAGAAACATTAAAAAAGAAAAAGAAAAAGAAAAAGAAATATTCCTGCATGGTCCATACTTCAAAAAGGAAACAGTATGTCCTCAGGCTACAGTGCCAACCTGGACAGGGAGACCTGACAGGTAACTGGCAGAAAATGCCAGAAGACCCAGATTCGAGACCCGGGCGTGCAGGCCACTCGTTATCAACCACCGTCTCTCGCTCTCTGTACCTCTGGCCTAGTCTGTAGACTAAAGGAGTTTTACAAGGAGGCGGCTACACTCTGGTGATCGGAGACTCTCTGTCCCCGCTTTCCGAGACAGGGGCTGACCGGATGAGCCCTGGGTGTGGCCTGATCTGGGGATTCTTCTGATCTGAATCTCTTCCACATGTGTGGTGTCAGCCGGGCGCGGGGAGGGGAGGGCCGGGCAATCCGAAACCTCCAGGAAGTTCAGCTTCGCTGGTGCTAAAATTAGAAGCAGGCTGCAGCTTACATCAAGGTCATTCCTCGCCCGGGCCTCTCCGTGAGCTGACTTTTCCCTCTGCCCGGCGCCCTGCAAACGCTCACGATTACAGCGGCCCGTGTCACGTGAGCGCCAGATGACCCCGGGCCGGGGACCGAAGGCAGAAAGGGGGGAAGGGGGTGTCTGGTCTCGTGGGGACCCTTTCAGACACGGAGCCGGAGAGCAGGTGAAAGGAACAGGAAGGAAGGAAGCAGGCAAGAGGACAAGGAACGCAGCCCTGGGCCTGGAACGGGGCAGGACGGGGAGGTAGAAGGGCTGCCCAGGTCTACCGGGTCCGTCATCAGCGCCTTACTGCTGTCCCCTGAAGACAGCCGTCCATTCCACTTTTAGAGGACACTCCCGAAAGAGGGAAGTGAGTTCTCCACAGGTGTCGTCTTGCAGTAATGGCCGAGACCCCCGTGCCCGCCAGGAGAGAGCCGGGGTCCCAACTCTGTCGCCGAGTGACCAGGATCCTGAGTGACTCACCTGAGGGCCGGTGCCTCTTCTCCCTTATCAGCAGAACAGAGATAACGTGTGGGGTGCCGGGAGGATGCGGGGACCGTGGGGGGGGGGGGGCGGGGGGGCATGCAGGAGGGCCCCTCGGAGGAGCCCGAGCAGGCTGCCTGACCCAGGTCTCACTGGACACGTGTAGACGATTTCGGGGTCCGCGGGTGTCTGTGGGGCCTGCCTCAGGGATCTTGCACCGCTGGGGGTCTCCCGCTTCCTTCCTCTGGGCCAGCGCGCGGAGAGGGCGTCTGGCCCGTGCCTCCCCTTTCTGGGCCACCACGGAAAGGCGACAGTAGCTCCCTGGGAGCCGCCCTGCCTCGGTATCCCCGCTGTCGAAGCCGTGTCTTCCACCGCGAGGGGCGGACCTGCCCGAGCGCCGTGGCCCCGTGCGGCACGAAGGCACAGCGCCTGACGCCGGGTGGGCGCGCAGTAGGCGCCCAAGACGGTCCTTGTGCGCTCCGGTGGGTGATGAAGAATTTCTAAAAAGTCACTCGATCGGCCAATTCGTTCCTTTGAGGCTGTGGGCTTTCCAGCTGAACGAAAACGTGCGTACTTTCTTTGGGGGACAACACGGTTCGGCGCCCGGGGGCCCGGCCGCTCCTCCCCACGAGGCCATTCTTGTCGTCGCTGTCAGCAGTAGTGACGACAGCGGCAGGGGCGGGGATGAGACGCTGAGGCGCCGGCAGGGCTCTCGTGTCCTACGGGACGAGACTCAGTCATCAACTGGATCCTGTTGAGCAAGATTCAGGGAATGCGCTGCACAGAACCGCCCTGCCGGGCTGCACCGAGTCCACACCGGGGCCGCCCCGGACGGAGCGACAGCCTGCGCATGGGGAGCGGGTACAGAGCGACGTTTCCCTCCGGCCATCCCGGCTGTCCCTCCTTCCGCCTGACCTCTCCTTTCCCGTGGCCACCTGCCGCTGAGGACAGCGGGAAGTGGCTCTCTGCCAATCTTGCCGGATGTGTGCAGGCCTGGGGTGGGCACCGGGACCTCCATTCTGGGGTCTCTCCCAACCTGGAGAGAAGGGGACGGGCCTCTGGAGTCGGGTGAGTGACAGGGATGAGCTGGCATTTCAGGAGCTGCTGTAGTGGCAAAAGGCACGAAAAGGAAAGAGAGAAAAGACAGAGACGGTTCCTTCTGGACATAAAAATCTGAGGCTGAGAACCCTGGAGGGAGCTCAGCGGTTGACTCATGGGGGGCATGGCTGTTCCTCGGGCACGTTTGAGGCCCCACAGGGGTCTTTTCCGTGGAGACGAGTGACCCGCTGGATCTCCTCAGTGGTAGGCACGGAAGAGAGCGCTTACGCTCGGGTTTCTGTCCCTGGGCCTCCGTGCTTCCCAGTGTAGGTAAGGAGGTCAGTTGAGATGGTCAGTGGCCACCTCTCTCCTGCCTGTGGAGCTCACAGTTGGACAGCCCAGGGCTCCCATATTCCGGTTCAGCCCCACCTGTGGGACTAGACGTCTTCGTCCGCCACCTTGGTTGTCCCAGCACTCGGTCGTGAGCCAGACCTGGGGCCTGGTGTTTCTCTCACGAACTAACTGTCTTTCCTCAAGTCTTTTTCATTGCCCATCATGACATCTGTGAGGCTCCCACACCTCTTCCGAGTCTGATGAGCAATGGATCCCTTGACATCATTCAGCATGGGGTCCCATGGGGGACAGACACTGGTTGTACTTGAACACAGAGCCCTGCTTGCCTCAGTGGGTACCAGCCCCTCTGCGGTCTGCCCCTTGAAGGGTGACCCTTGTCCCAGCTCCAGGACACCCCTCGCTGGGGCACGCTGGCCACCACCATCTCCGGGATGAACCTAGATGTGGTCTTTGGGATCTGATATTAAACAGACTCACACCAACGTTTCTTCCTCCGATGTTCTCAAGGTCTCTACAGCTGTGGAGAAAGCCCTGGATATGGGCCACGTGGTCTCATTTCCTTGCAGAAATCCCTGGTCTCCAAGCCGTGGTCGAACACAAGAATTGCCCTTCTGAAGACATCTGGGTGCTTTTGCAAAAAGCTCGTTGGAGATGCTGCTGTGTTACCTCATGTCTGTTATGTAAGGGCTCGCTTGATAAATTTCTCCTTGAACACGGTGCCAGGAAAAATTTCTCTTTCCAATCTGATTCCAAAGTCATTGTCCAACGAGAAGTACATGAGCCAGCCTGTTTCCCCTTCATCCAGGAAATTCAGAGATAAATCCAGCGTTCGGCTGTAGTAAACAGCTCATCGCAGGTGGCTCGAGACCTAGTGTTTCTCTCTTACCCTCCCTTGTCCTTCTGTGAGTTTTGTTCAGCTGGTCAAATTTCCTTAGAAGTTTTGGGACGTTTTGGGAAAGAGTGAGATGCACCTCCCCCCAGAGACACTCAATGCACACACGCACATGTGCAAGGCACAGACGTCCCCACTTCTTACCGTCACCCCCGCCACGTCCCCGGTCCGGGCTGCGCACCAGGTGGCCATGCTGCCCTGAGCGGCTTGCGGTTGGCCGACGGGGCAGATGGGCCGACGGAGAACGGACCTGAAGGTGCGGGACAGCTGGGTCCGCGCCGAAACCAGGCGGCGGGGGGAGAGGCTGGCAGCGTTCAGAAGTAGACGTGGGACGTCAGCACGGGGAAGACTTCTTGGAAGAAAGGGAGGCTCGCGGGGAAGGGCGGGACAGATTTCGAAGGCAGAAACGGAGGAGGAACACTGCTGACGGGGGAACAGTTTGCACAAAGGCTTGTGAAGGGAAAAGTACACTGCCCTGCGCGTTTGGCAAAAACATTGGGAACCTAGTTCAGCTGGCAGGTCAGACACGTGGCGGAGGCACCGGGAGCTGAGGATAACGTTCTTGTGCTCTGCAATTTGGAAGCGGGATCGGGCCCGATCTATCCTTTCGCCCAGCCACCCTATGAAGCAGGCAGAGCAAAACTGATTGTGCCCCATTGGGGTCAGGGGCTGGGGCTACGGACCCGTTAAATCACTTGTTCGCAGAGACCCCGCGGAAGCGAGAAACCCGGGGCCCCACACCCAAACCTGGCTCTGGTTTCCCCGCCTTGTTCCATCTCTGGAAAACGCCGGAGGAAGGGGTTCGCGGGGTCGGGCTAGGGGGGCCCACCTCGGAGATGAGATTCAGAGGTTTGCTTTGCGTTTCCTTCAGGGGCGGGCGGGGTGCTGGCGAGAATCGAAGGGAGGAGCCCCCGGGTGCAGTCGCAGCTCAGGTCCCCTAAGAACGCCCGCACACGGGTGGATCTCTGCGCGGCCGGCTTCTCTGTTCCTTTTCTGCTGCAAAAGAGGAACAATGAGGAAGTGAGGGGTGAGCAGTGATGTTTAGCGTTCCAGCTCTGAACTTTCAAATGCTGGAATCCCCCGGGTTGGGAAGGGTGGGTGTGGTCACTTCCCACCATTGCCAAGGCGGACCTGCGGCAGCCCCCCTGGGGAAGAGGGGGTGTGATTTCCTCCCAAATAGGAAATGTATCTCCCGACTGGGGTTCTGCAGAGAGTCATCAAGGACTTATCTCCAGAAGCAGATGACCAGAGAGGGGCCCTGCCCAATCCTTTACCCCAGAGGGAACGAGTTGGCCAGGGGAGGGACCAGCTGAGGACCGGCCAGGAGAGCCTGCTCTCCTTTGTGCAGGAGGAGGGCTTCTCCCTGCCAGACTCTCCCGGGACCTGGGGACCCTCCGAGGGATCCCAGCAGCTCCTCCCAGGACCTCCAGCGTGTTCCAGCCGGAGAAGCGAAGTTAACTTCTGTAATTGAGAGGACAGGGGAATCTGGGTCCTTTCTTCCGACTGGGTCCCGGATCCCTGGGTGATCATCTCAGCTCTTGGAAACCAGGCTCCGGAGATTCAGAAAGCTCCCCCAGTGGCCCCAACCTGCGGGCTGTTTGTTGAGAGGAGGCATCCTCTTAGCGCACTCAGAACATTGCAGCAGGAAGGACCCCTGCCCCTTTTACAGATAAGGGACTCGAAGACGGAGAGACAAAATAGATACTCAGTCAAGCTTATCCATCGTGTCGTGTCAATGTTTCTAAATCCTACTTTATTTCCCTGTGCTGCCCTCATCCTCCTTGGCCTGTCATATTTCTAAAGGGTTTTTCCTTTTATTTGCACAAGTAATTGACTTCTCCGCACCCATTTTGTCACTTAGGAAGTGGGGGTGATCTTGGCCGCGGACGAGTGCAGGATTCAAGTACCTACAGCAGTGGGAGTGTGGGGTGGAAAGCACTTTGCAAACATTTGAGAGAAGCTGTCGTGAGGGGGGAGAAAATCTCCCATTTTAAATTCTTCCACCTCAGCCGGCTTTCCAGGTTTTGGGTATAAGTCTGGGTGTTTTTTTTTTTTTTTTTTTTTTTGGACGAGGTTTAATAATGCTCATTATTAATAAGTCCTTTTTTCTTTTTTTTTTTTTTTCAACGTTTATTTATTTTTGGGACAGAGAGAGACAGAGCATGAACAGGGGAGGGGCAGAGAGAGAGGGAGACACAGAATCGGAAACAGGCTCCAGGCTCCGAGCCATCAGCCCAGAGCCTGACGCGGGGCTCGAACTCACGGACCGCGAGATCGTGACCTGGCTGAAGTCGGACGCTTCACCGACTGCGCCACCCAGGCGCCCCAATAAGTCCTTTTTTCTTCAAGAGTTATTGAAGTGGGTGATTTTGTCAGTGTCTGTCCCTGGGATTATTATGTCTGATTCTGTGCCCAAAGTATTCCCACGCTTCTGCAATATACGTATTTTCCACATTTATACAGAGCAAGTCCTTCCACAATTCAGTCTCCCTATTACTGAGTGCTTTAACTTGGTTTACAGCCCATTTGCCCAATACTGTCAAGGAAAGTTACCTAAGAGGCATGTTCTGCGCTGACTTATGCCTTAGAATGTCTTTCTACTGCTTGAACCACAAACACCAACTTGCTGGGCTCTGAAGTCTCGCTTTGCCGACCTCGCCCCTCAGAGTTTCCTTGAGGGTGGTTTCATTGCTTTTCTCTCGCCCCTGATGTTTATATGCCTGGATGAGGGTAGGCGTCTCCCTTTATCCTTGAGATTAAAAAGATATGTCTCCACTTTTTAGCTCTTAAAAGTTCTCACTCTTAACAAAAACAGGTTTGACCTGGCCAGATAACTACCCCCGAAACATTCATGCGAGATCTCCTTGGGAGGTCCTGGAGGTGGGTAGTGCCTTCTTTCCCTCCCCCCGGGGTTGAGGGCTGGCTGTCACGTCTGTGCTCACACCTCAGGGATCTGGCTACCATCTTGGTTGGCTTGAGGAAGGAGTCCAGAAAATCCCTAGGTCTGTGTGTTTTGTTTTTCATGATGCTACTTGACCGGGGCAAGCATTCCATGATCAAATTTCTGATCAAGTTGGCTTTCCTTTTGTGAATAGGTCCAGCTGGCATTGGCAGCCGTGACATTTAACCACCTGTCCCAGCCAATCAGAAAGAAGCAGAGGCCGTTATGGGGGCAGAGGTGTTAGGGACCCCCTCTTGTGCCAAGTCTTTATCCTTCGTTGTTGAGGAATGGTGGTGGTGGAGGGGGATGATGTTGGGTGACCTGAGAGGGAGGGACTGGGGAAGCCATTGTAGCAGAGGGACACTGAGGCAGTTCGGGGGCCACAGTGTTTGTAACCGGTGTAGAAGCCGATCGTCCAATGCAGGCAGAATAGCCATGCCAGTGCATGTCCAGACTCCAGCGTCGGGGGCCATCCGTCTGGTCTGTGCCCCACGTTCTCCATCAGTACGTCTGCTTGCTCGTGGTCCAATTGGCAAGGATGTTTTGCAAGGCCGCTTGAACGTCAATGGCGTCCTTCAAAGCCAGGAGAAGGACAGACAGTGACAGCACGTTTTCCAGGCATCTCAGCAGGTGCCTGAGGGACTCCCCTCCCCACAGCACTGCACGTTGCTCCCTCCTCTCCCCCTCCCCGGTGAAAGGTACAGCTCTGGGGGTACTCTGGGGGATGGTAACCACCATATGCGTATTGAACCGAGATCGGCATTTAACTGCTACTAAATCTCATCACCCCCTAGAACCGAGCCAGAGAACGGCTCTATCACATGGCAGCCAAACTGTTAGGAGAACAGAGCCAAGATGTACAGATCCATCGGCACAAACAGCGACGGTACTTAGAATATTCTTGCACGGGGTCGGGGTCGGGGGGGGGGGCGGTCAGGAAAACAGTGGCCGTGATCTTGGCGCCTGAGGCGTGGGGTGAGATTGGGTCTGGAAAGGGGGTAGGACTAGGCCACGGCCAGGTTCTCTCGGCCAGCTCCCGGGCAAGGCCTCCTTCGGGGAACATGGGAGGCAATGGTCTGGAGAGTGCAGTGCAGAACTGGCTCACAATCATGTAGACATTTGGATTGCTTCTGGAGAGAGCGGCTGCTGTATTTGGCAGGCAAACCCAAAGGAAGACCGGCTTAGCTTGAAGATAACCTTGAGACCCAGGGCCGATGGGCCAGGGCAGGTGACGGGGCAAGAAACACAGATGGCGTTGGGTCGTTACCCTGGGTATTAGTTTAGAAGGCAAGAACTTGATCGATGGGATTGACCGCAAGAGGTTCATGCTACGGGCATGGAGCATCCCAAGGGGTGGGAATAAAGGAGGGTATTGAGGGGGCGCCGGACAGACCCTTAGGGAGGTGCCTGGGCTGCAAGGCTAAGTATTGCAGGCCATTGCGGGCCCGGCAGCCGGAGGAAGGAAGGACGGAGGAAGCCTGTCGTGATGGTGACGATGACGACGGTGCTGATGACAGATGACATCTATTGAGCACCTAGTGCAAGGAGCCTGACGCCATGAAAATCCACGCGCCCACATACTTGCTGCAGCAAGGGAACAAAGCTGGTGGTATCACCATCCCCATTTTATAGACGAGAAAAGCGAGGCACAGAGAAGAGCAAAAACCTGTTCAAAACACACAGCAAGCGCACGGTGGAATCAGGTTCTTTCCCGCAGGTGGAGAGCGAGCCAGCAGACTCCCAACAGAGTCCCAGAAGTCAGGATTCTTCCGCGACACAGGGAAAATAGCAGATTTCAGCACGAGGAACGGGAACTGGTTCGGTCGAACACTGCCAGGAGGCGTCCACAGGCAGGAGATTTTAGCCAACTCCCTCGCCCAGTTTTTCACTTTCCACGAATGCAAAGAAGCTGGGGTGGCATCCGGAAAGGCACGGCAGCAGGCCGGGGGCTGGCGGGGGCTCTGCTCCGAGACCCCTAGCAAGCCTTGCTGGCTGACGCAGGCCTAACGGGACAGAGGTGGGCAGAAGTGCCAGCCCCTACTTGAGAGACAGTGGGGACCCAGGACTGCCTGGTGGAGGAGGTAGGTTGAGATGAAGTTCAAGGTCTCGCCACAGTAAGTGTGGAGAGACGGGCACCACATGGCAAACTGGAACTCTTCCTCAGAGGGCCCGTCCTCGGGGTAGGTCGGTCGTGTCGTTTAGAAAAGCGTTGCAGATCAAGGGCTCTGGCTGGCTCGAGTCTCACCCCATCAGGGCCAGTCCTGTGCAGCTGCTCTAGATTCCTCCCACCGAGCAGCTGTCCCGAATGCGGAGCCCTTTCCACTGGGGTTGGCAAGGCCACCGGCAAAGGCCCAAGAACAGAAGGGGTGGAGACACTTGCCAGGCAGACTTGGGCAGGAGGTCATTTCCACCTTATCCTGCAACAGGCGACTGGGCCATGATCCTGGACAGAACTTACAGGGCAGGTGCATGTTGGGGAAGCTGGAGTTTCTGGACAAGGTGTGAGAGGCAAATAGTGGGCACGGTTGTATAAGGTCTGGTAGGAGTCGCTGAGTCCAGACTGTGCCGGAATTTCAGACATGCTGTTGCCAAGAGGCTGGGAGTTGAGTTCAGCCCTGCTCCCTACTCCTGCTTCATGCGCCGACCAGCTCTTGAGGTCAGATAGGGGCCGAGGACGATGGGAACCGGTTGTCTGTCTCCCGCGAGGGTGGGGTGAGGAAATGAGGCTAGATAGCCCTCATCTGGGAAGTCTCAAGATGTAGGAGACACACAAAGGGAAGCTAGCAGCCACAAGGGAGGTGTCCTCTCCCACGAGTGGACCTTACGCTGTGCCAAAGGGACGCAGCACCCGTTGAGTTACAAGGCACGAGTCTAATCGTCTGTGGAATGTTCTAGAATGATTGCGTTTGGAGATCACACACTGAGGAACCATCAAAAAGAAGTCTTTCAAAATGTCTTTATACCTAAATCTTAACACTCTTCCGATCTGGAAGTCTGGAAAAGTCAAAACCTACTGAGAGGATTCACTACGAACTCTAGAGTTCTCTGTGTCCCCAAGTCACAAGGGGTCGGTGGTTCTCAGTGTCAGGTGTAAGGTGTCATTAAATGTTGAGTTCCAAGGTGGCTTGGGTTTGTGGACCGGCTGGACGGCTGCTCACCATGAATAAAACAGTGGCACCCGGGGTGTCCACCAGCCTACGTGAGGGGTCCAGATGGGTTATCTGTCGGGTTGGGTGTGGAAGAGTGATAGGAGGTCTAAGCAAGATGGCGGCAGCTTGTGTTGATCATGGATACATGTATGTGTATATATATCTACACAACCCCCTTACCCCCCTCCCCCCTCCCCCGACAAAGCAGGGCAGAAGTGAGAAAACAGAGTCGGGAACCCAGAAGCAAGAAAACAGAGTCAGGGACCCAGAAGCATTGTCACACCCAGATGCAGAAGTTTTGCTTAGGGCCTGATCCCTCTAAGAACTATAAATAAATAATGTGTCTGTAAATGTTCCTTCACGGAACTTTATTCTCTGCCCATGACCGCGGCAAAGTCTTCTCGGTATTGACTTACTGGACCGCTACGACATCCTTGGGAGACTGATGTTTATCTCATAATTTTGCAGAGGAGGGTGCTGAAGCTTTGAGACGGAAGTGGCTTACGCTCACAGTGCGCTGGGATTGGAACCCAGCTCCATTTACCTGCAGAGCCCTTCAGCTCACCCACTCCTTGCTGCTCTGTCTTCTGCAGACGGCTGTCGTGGCTTGAAGAATATGGATAGAATAAACTGTAGGATTTCTTTCCTGCATCGGAGAATCACCAGATTATCTTCGTGCCTTCCGGCCACCCACCGCTGGACACATAGGTTGTCACAGACTGAGTGTCTATGTCCCCTCAAAATTCATATGCTGAAGCCCTAACCCCAGTGGGATGGGACTCGGAGGTGGGGTCTTGCGGAGATAATTAGCTATGCACGAGGCCACGAGGGTGGAGCTCCAACATAGGATTAGTGTCCTTAGAAGAAGAGACACCAGAGGTTCCCCTCCCTGCCACGTGAGGACATAGCAAGGGGACAGCCGTCTCCAAGTCGGGAGGAGGGCTCTCACCAGGAACCAAACCTGTCTGCATCTTGATCTTGAACTTCCCAGGCGCAAGAACTATGAGAAATTAATTTCAGTTGCTTGACCCATGCTACTTTGTGATAGCAGCCCAAGCTAGTAGGTAAGTTTCTATATTTGTCTTACGAACACAGCTTTATTGTTTTCAAAAAAGAAGTGTTGCAAAAAATTTAAGTGGCATGAAACAAAGGCACACTAAGGAGAAACCATTCCGGATTCCACTACCCAGAGACTATCACCAAGATGGATTTGCCAGACATTTGCCCAGGCATCCTTCTGGGCTTCCATACATGGGTATCAATTTGCATAACATTTTACAGGGATCACATCCCAGTGAAACAAAGTACCGCCAGCCGGGGAACGACCAGGGGAGTTCGCTCTCACACGGCTGAGGCTGCAGGTCTGAGGTCAAGGTCTTAAAGGGCGGGTTCGTCCTGGAGGCTCGGAGGCAGGTATGCTTCACTCCTCTGTCTCAGCTTCTAGAGGTTTCTGACAATCCTCTGTGTCCCTGCACGGAGAACTCTGTCTCCCTCCTCGCGTGGCATATTCCCTGTGTGTTCGTAGCTGAATTTCCCTTTTCTTATAGGGACACAAGTCATTGGATTAGGACCCTCCCTAATCCCATATGACCTCACTTTAACTTGATTACATCTCCAGAGACCCTATATGTAAACAATGTCACACTCATAGAAACCAGGTAAACGTGTGTTTTTTTTGGGGGGGGGGGATGGCTTTCCATCCAGTACACCTGGCCATCTCTTTATGTAAATACATGTAGACACCCATTTTTTTAAAGGGCAGGATAATATTTCTTGGGAGAGCTATATTATAATCTCTATGGATTTACATCTAGATTATTTTATTTTATCTTTGGGCTATTTTTTAGCATCTGTGTGATATACACCCTTGTACTTGGACTTTATGATTGTGTATTCTTAGAGAAAAACTACCAATAGGGTTGGTGATCCAAAGGGCTTGGACTTTTATTATCTTGACGTCTGTTGACCCCCAAGGAGGATGGTCCCAGCAACGGCTGAGTGGGGTCAGAGTCTGCAAGGGGTTCTTCTGTTACACACCAACTGGGATAGTTTCCCGAGGATTTCCAGAGCCTCACCGGAAGCCCATTTCAAGGCCACAGGAGACTTCTGGATCTGACGCGTGGCAGGCATTGAAAGAGTTTTATCAAGTGAATATGGGTGTTTATGAAAACAGCGTTCTTTCCCCAGCAAAAAACAAATAGTTTATTTGAGTGCCACACTGAGCAGAGAGAGGAGATTTCTGCGTGTTCCGCAGTGATTCTTCCTCGGATGCCAAATGCATGGGGGCTGGGGTTGGGGAGCAGGTGCTTCGGCGGTCTGTTCTGGCACTGTCGTGGTGGGGCCCGTAACCACCGTCTGCACGAATGTCTGGTCAAGGGAACAGCTCTGGCAGTAGGCTGTGCTGTGACGTTGGTTCACAAGCCTGGGGTCGGACCAGGACGGCAGCGGCCGACACCCATCGAGGGCTCTGCGCGGCTTTCAGACCGGATGGGGTCACGATCCCTGCCCCGAGGCACCCACCCATCTTACGGGAACAGAGGAATCTGCTTATCAGACAAAACCCGGTCACCTTCTGCTCCCAGACCCAGGGGGAGGGAGTGAGCCTCGGTTTGCGGGCACGGGTGGAGGGGGTGCGTGAGCCCGGGGAGCTCAGAAGGCAGCCGCGCGTAGGAACGTCACTCCAGAAGCTTGGGGACGGAAGTAGAACAGCAGTTCGCCTGGGACAAGCCGGAGAGGGTTTTCTGCCCGCCCTGGGTTCAGATCGCGCTCTGAGTACGAGAGGAAGAAAATAGCATCCTTCCCCCACGGTGTGGGGAAACTGAGCCTTGCCTAATGCTGAAGCGTCCACGTGAGCCCCGAGTGGACAGGTGTTCAAAGGCTGTCAGCAGATGGGAAGTTGTCGAGTCCCCGTGCAGACACTCTCAGTGTTTACTCAGCAGCTGGGTATTTTCAGGGACTAACATTTCTGTCCATGACTGGGGCAAGATGCCGGTACAGGACCGGGCCATGTCTGGTCCCAAGAGAGCTGGAAAGGAAGAATATTACGAAGCCGCTCACTGATGTAATGTGTATTCTGAGCACCTGCTCTGTCAGGCACTGTGCTAAGGACGTGCCACGGAAACAAAGACCGCTGTCCCCCCGGGGCTCACATTCGTCCAAATCGCTCGTTGCTAAGAAAACTTGCGTACATTTGGGACTGTAGAGAAAATACAAAGTTCCATGAGAGCCCAAGGTGGGGACCTGGCTTAATGCAGTCTGGGGATGCTGTCGGGGAGGTGGCCTTGGGGTCAGTCTTGATGAATGGGTAGATACTGCACAGAGAAGGTGCATCTTGAGTAAGGACATCCAAGTCGAGGAAACATCAAAGCCGGAAAAGCGTTGTGCTGGGGACCTCAAATATTCGGACACTCTTGGAATCTAATAGGAAACGTGTTACCACAAGACTGTTGCAGTGGATAATGGCTCATGAGGCTTTTGACATGTGGCTGGCTCTCAACGTCAGTGTTCGTCATTTGGAGGGAAGATGCATTATAATTTCTAGAAGCCCTGCTCAACATCTCCCTTTGGGAACATTTGTAAACCAGGTCTCCTGTCCGAGCCCATAGACTCTCTCACCCTGGTGTCATTGGTACAGACAGAAAGCTGTACTCAAGACCAGCCACACGAGGGCACAATTGCCCCACGATGGACTCAAAGTCCCCCCAAGAAAGGTCAGGAGAGACCTTGTCCTCAAAAGCTCTTCTTCCCCATGACAGTGACCAAGGAGTGCATGAAACTGTCCCACCTGATTCTATTAAAGCCACCGACATCTGCTGAGTGAGGTGCTTGGAGGAATTTGGGCGGAAAACTGGCTCCCATTATCAGTCCTAGTGTCTCCACCCCCCTGAAACATTCTGTCTATGATTCCTGCCACTGTGATACAGATCAGAGCTTCCGTTTAGGTAGGTGTGGACTAGCACCGGGCCAGTGCTCTCAGAGTGTTTTCTTTGTTTATGATTACAACAAAATGCAGGCTCATACAGAACGCCTGATGTCCCCTCCCCACCAGCTACATGTATCAGGATCCTAAATGTATATAGATTATATACTTATAGATTATACACGCATATGATTCCATATAATATTAGATATTATATTATATAACACACACGCATGTTACACATCTAAATGTACACACACATGATACACACACAAATTCATAAACTATATAGGTTTTTCCCTAGGATACACATTTTTACAAAATAGACGTCTTACATTATAAACTATTTTGCAATCCTGTTTTTGTCTAATATATGGTGAAAAGTCCCCAGATCGTTAAATAGTATTCTTTAAAAAAATTTTTTTTAACGTTTATTTATTTTTGAGAGAGAGAGAGAGAGAGAGAGAGAGAGCCTGAAGAGGAGAGGGAGACACAGAATCTGAAACAGGCTCCAGGCTCTGAGCTGTCAGCATAGAGCCCGACGCGGGGCTTGAACTCACAAATTGCGAGATCATGACCTGAGCTGAACTCAGTCACTTAACCGGCTGAGCCACCTGGGTGCCCCAATAATGTTCTTATATCATGATTTTTAATAGCTGCATAACTTTCCAAAACATAAATGCTCCACAATTTACTGAAACAACCCATTAGTATTGGATATTTGGGTTGTGTTTTTTTGCAAATTGTTTTTTCTATTAAAGGACACATCTCCTTGGTTTCATATGGTTGAAGTGGAATTGAGAGATACAGGCACTTAATTTTAAGGTGTTTGATATCATAATGCAAAACTGCCTTCCGGAATCATTACCGTGGTTTCCTGTCTCAACAGCTGCAGATAAAAGGGCTTCCCGGATATTCTCAGGGTATTTGTCAGATACTGATAAACAGAAGATCCCTGTCCTGGCTGAAGTCACTGGGGCGTGGAGTTGCCAGTAATCCTTGGGTGGGTATTTGAAGGTGAGCCTCAGGAACTCAAGGAGGGCCGTGCCTGTAACTTGGGGCTCTAACGGTTGGAGGATTCAGGGAGCCCTGGACTTGGGGTCCGAGCGTCTTGGGGTTCGAGCCACGCTATAGCCTGGCACTGGCTTTATGCTTTCGAGAAGTTCAGGTCTCCCCACTGAGCCACAGATATCACCCCAAGAGCCAGGACGATGATCCCTTTGTAGAGCATGAACTCCCCGCGGGATTTTTTCTTCGTGCTGCAGTTTTTCTTCGTGCTTCGAGGGCATAGAGCCCTCGTACTCAGTGTCGCTGCCATTACTATTTGTGAATTTTGTATCGAGGACACGCTTCAGCTTTCAGCATCTTAGTTGGAACCTTTATAGTCTAATGGAAGAAACGACGAGTTCTGGGTCTTGGCGCCTGCTCTGACAACACTAGCTGTGACCTTAGACACTTATCTTCCCCTGGCTGGGTCTTTGTTTTCCCATGAGCCAAATGAAGTTTCCCTTGAACTTGAAAACTGCAAGTCTGGCAAACAGAAAACTGCTCGGTTGCGCCCCTCCAGAAGGCAGTGTTTGCAAAAGGGTAAGCGGCAGTATCTACCAGGTTTCACGCATCTTCTCATGCATCACCGGAACCATGCGAGATGGGCATTACGATTTCCTCATACTACAGGCGGGGAGACTGAGTCACAGAGAGGTCGTGACTCGGCCCGACAGTCACACAGCCCGTGAGGGGTTGGCTCTGGGACCTGAACTGAGAATGTCTGACTCCGCAGCCTGTGTCTGAAATCACAGAGCTGGCCCCAGAACCTAGAATTATCTTCCAAGCCCTTGTAAGGGCAAAGCCGGAACGAAATGATGTGTGAATAGAAGCGGTGTAGGACCTGTCGTCGCCGTGAGCTTACGCTGGGGCCATACGTTCTGTCTTCTCTCCGTTCTCCCCTCCGCCTCTCTCCCTGCATTCTGTGGTGGGTTTCAGTTCCAGCTCTGATGCGAACTTGGGAATTTCCCACAACCTCTCTGCACTTCTGTTTCCTTGTTTGTGAAAGGACACACCCTGTCTTTCCCCATCGGATGAACGACACTGGAAAAGCCGCCGTTCTGGGCAAACGTGCATTTGTCCTGATTCCCTCCTGGGCGCGTTTACCCGGTATCTTGGAGGATTTCCTGGAACCAGCTCATTTTCTGTGCCCAAAGTGTTGGAATGGTTGCAATGCCTCCAGAATGACTGGCTTTTGGCTTGCAAAGGTCCCCTCTTTTGACGAGGAAGGCAGGCCGAGGGGCAGGGGGGCACAGGCGAGTGGTCCCGTGGGCGGGGCGCTGAGGGCTGCGAAGAGTTTAAGCCCCCATGGGGCTCGCTGCTGTCAGTGAGGAGCCTACTTCAGATCCTCTGTCCCCCATCCCCCCCTGCCCCTCCCTCGCTCATGGTCTCTGTCTCAGGAATATATAAACATTTTTTTTTTTTAAAAAGGGGAAGAAAGTTTGACATAAATTTCTGGTGACTTTAAGAGAGGAATGCTCTTGTAACCTAAATATCAGAGGCATCCCCGCTCTTTGAGATGTGGAACAGGTGGCTCGACGTCCCCCTTCATGCCCCTGGGAAGCCCAAAGTCTTCCCCAGACTTCATGGGTCTCAGGGGACTTCTCCCTCTGGCGCGAGCTGCTTTTCCAGAATGTTCCACCCCGTTGGGAAACTTGCTTTCTTCCTGTTCTTCTAGGCAGGACCACTTGGCTCCTTCCCTCCCCTGCTGTCACACCCAGCCCTGGGTCCACCTTGGTACTTCCAACCCCACCAGCGTGCTGCGTGGAACGGAAGGGTTTCCTCCCAACAGGGTCCGCCCTCTACAGAAGCCGGGATCGTACACGGAAGGAAATTTCTTCTGCTGTCCGGACTTCAGATTACACGCAAGTCTATCACCCAAGAGGTAGCTTGAATGGAGGGGCACTGGCCTTTGGCACAGGGGTGACGAGGAGAAGACGAGAAGAAGGAGTCCCTCGGATCCTTCCCTGTGCCAAATGCCGGGCTCTGTGCTCACGTCCGGCTGGGGAGAGTTAGAGGGGCGCTGGTGGGGGGTCTTTTCCGCAGGGGTCTGGCGCACCCAGGAGGAAAGCAGATGGAGACAAAAAGACCAGAAGACCTCTTTCTGGTCAGACACTACCTTACGCTCTTGGGACAGGACTGGAGATGCCTGATAAGACGAGGCATCAGAAAGTGATTGCGCAGTCGCCCTGCCTAGCTCACGGAAGGATGTTGTTCAGCGGGAAAACACCTGCCGGTACCCCTTCGAGGAGTCTGCTCTCACCGGGCCTTCGGCAGCATGCCTCACACGTGTGCACTTGGTCAGAGTCGTCTCCTCTGACTCAATAGCCACATTAGCAGGAGCGTCTCCGTTATCCCCGTGTCCCAAATGCTGAGCACGGAGCTCGGCACGCGACGCATCTGGGTCGGATGAACTGAACGGATTCCCCAACGCGCATTTTCCGAGAGGTGACGATAGCCACGTGGGCTCTTTCCTCGTTCGGTTCTGCCTCTGTTCTCGCTGCCGCCACCACACTTACATGCGCTCATCACGACGCTGTTTCCCGGCTGGGCCTCCTGCCCGCTGCCCGGCCTGTTGGCCCCAAGTCCGTGCAACAGCCTGTGGCCCCAGCAAACCCCCCACCAGCTCGACGGGCACACCTCACTCTCCCGCACCGCGCAGATCTCGCATTTCTTACGAACTGAAGCTTTGTGGCCACGCTGTGTCAGGCAAGTCCAAGGGCTGCATTTTCCAGCGGTGTCTGCTCGCTTTGTGTCTCTGTGTTTCATTTTGGTAACTCTCGCCCTATTTCCAACGTTCTCTTGACATCATTCTTATATTGGTTATGGTGGTCTGTGCTCAGTAATTGTGACTCACTGAAAGCTCAGATGATGGTTAGCATTTTTTAGCAATAAAGTATTTTTAAATTAAGGTCGGCGTGTTGTTTTTCTTAGACACCATGCTGTTGCGTGATTGATAGGCCACAGTGTGGTGTGAATGTGACTTTTATATGCCCTGGGAAACCAAAAAATTCTTGTGACTCACTTTATTGCAACATTCGCTTTATTGCAGTGTTCTGGAAGGGACTCTACATGTCTCTGAGGTGTGCCTGGCCTCTGCCGGTGGTGGCTTTGACTTCAGGACCTTGCGGTGGCTCTCTGCCACTTACGCAAGAAAATCCCTGTCCCCCATGGTGGTGCCGGGGGCCCCTCACCATCTCCCTCTGTCCACCTTCATTGCCTCATGGTCCTCTCTGGTCCTTTAGATGTTCCCTGAGTCCCTGTTTCTGTGCTGGCTTCATCCTGCTGCCTCCCCAGCCCCCACCCCCACCCCCCTCCCCTCCCCCCTCCCCTCATTCTCCCCCCATCCCAACCTTTCCTTGGTTCTTTCAAGAGCATGGCCAAATCCTACCTGTTTTTCATATTATTATGCCATTTGAGCCTCACAAAATCTCTGAGTCTGTCTTAAAGTATTGGTCTTACCAGCTGATTCTTTTAAAAGGCTTCCATGTTTGCAGGGGCACCTGGGGGGCTCAGTCGATTGAGCGTCCCACTTCTGCTCAGGTCATGATCTCACAGTTTGTGGGTTCGAGCCCTGCATTGGGCTCTGTGCTGACAGCTCGGAGCCTGGAGCCTGCTTCAGATTCTGTGTCTCCCTCTCTCTCTGCCCCTCCCCCTGCTCATGCTGTCTCTCAAAAATAAATACACGTTAAAAATATTTTAAAAAGTCTTCCACGTTGAATTCAGCTGGGGCAATACTGTGTGTCATCACATCTTTGTGGGTTTATGACACCATGATGTCTGAGGTTCCAAGGCAGGCTATTATGAGGATACCCCTCTGACCCGCATTTCCTAAACATACTGACAACAGAGCTCTTCCCCACTCTGATCTATTAACACACTGCAGAGGATCTGGGAAATGCTTCCTGGAGAGTTATCGGGGAGGTAAGCCTTAACCTGTTTTTATTGGTGAAAGAACCGAGGCTCCGAGACAGAAATGCTCACACGAGCAGAGTGAAAGGTGCATCAACCCCGTGATTTTCTTTACTATGCCTTGATGACTTCTGATATTTGTCATCCAGGGATGACTCGAAAGCTTATCCTTGGGATCCCAGTACTTACTGGCTCCTAAGACTATAACTCAGTTCTCTTTCCTAATAGCTGAACTTTGTCCCACTTCTCTTTTCTAAACATGATTGCGTCCAAGTATTTCTTTGGCTTTTCTTTTCCCGCCAGATGTTTCACAAGTAAGTAACAAAAGGTTCCAATTAAATTTTTCCAAGGGTCTCACCAAAGCATGAAAAGAAATAGCAGATATGTTTTCTGGTATATACCTGGTCTACGTCAAAATCATAGTAACTGGAAAGGGGAAGGAGTGATGGCCTGATTTCAAGGAGATATTTATGGCTAAATAAGAACTGAGCCAATTTTATAGTGGCCAGAAAGGCATGAGTGTATCTCTGTTTTAACCTTAGCTTTGAGGGTTTTGGAGGGTTACGAATGAAAAACGTTAAATAATTATGTAGAAAATAAGCATTTTCTAATGTTTCAAAAATGAAAGTAAACATTTGGAAAAGTAAGAAAAAAACTTGCATGTTTGTTTAGCATTTTGTTATTATTTTTTAAATGTTTATTTTTGAGAGAGAGGAAGACAGAGTGCAAGTGTGGGGGAGGGGCAGAGGGAGAGGGAGACACAGAATCCAAAGCCGAGCTGTCAGCACAGAGCCCAGCACGGAGCTCGAACTCATGAACTGCGAGAGCATGACCTGAGCTGAAGTCAGACGTTTTCCTGACTGAGCCACCCAGGCTCCTTAGCATTTTGTTATTATTATCTGACCTTTAAATCCATCTGTTGTAAGTTGTGAGATGCCCTGTTATGGTACTTTGTTTATCATATTAAGAATCATTGGGGGGGGGGGGGAGTCAGTGCCCTCCTGAATGGTACCCCTGAATGGTGACATCAGAGGGTTGCACACTGCTAGGGGGAGGGGAGACAGGTCTCAATGAGCCAGTCCAACCAAGGTCGCCAAACAATAGGCACCAAGTGTGGAGGGTCATGCACAGAATTGCTATCGCACATTGCCGAAAATGTCTAGCTTCCAACAAAAGATTATGAAACCTGCCAACACAGAGGAAAATGTGAGTCATATTTGGGGGGAAAAGACAGGCTTTGAGAGGGCCCAGATGTTGGACTTATCAGGGAAACTCTCCAAAGTGATTAAGAATATGTTTAGGGGCACCTGGGTGACTCAGTCGGTTAAGCGTCCGACTTCAGCTCATGATCTCACGGTTTGTGAGTTTGAGCCCCGTGTCAGGCTCTATGCCAACAGCTCAGAGCCTGGAGCCTGCTTGGGATTCTGTGTCTCCCTCTCTCTCTGCCCCTCCCCCACTTGCACTCGCTCATACACACACTCTCTCTCTCAGAAGTAAATAAACGTTAAAAAAAAATATGTTCAAAGTACTAAGGGAAACCATATTATAGAATTTAAGGAAGGTATGACATCAATATCTCATCAAATCCATAACACTCATAAAGAAATGATAAAAGAACGAACCAGGCAGAAATTCTGGAACTGAAAAACATTGTGACCGAAATGAATTCACTGGACAGGTGGAACAGCAGATTTGAGCTGGCGTAAGAAAAAGTAAGCAGAGGGGCACCTGGGTGGCTTAGTCGCTTGAGTGTCTGACTTCAGCTCAGGTCATGATCCCATGGTTCACGAGTTCGAGCCCCGTGTTGGACTCAGTGCTGACAGCTCAGAGCCTGGAGCCTGCTCCGCTGCTTTGGGTTCTGTGTCTTCTCCCTTTCTTTCTGTCCCTCACCCACTCACACACTCTCTTTCTCAAAAATAAATTAAAAAAAAAGAAAAAGAGAACGTAAGCAGACTTGGAGATCAAGCAATAGAAAATGATGCAATCTGAGGGCCAGAGAGGAAAAAGAAGGAAGAACAATGAATGTGGCCGTAGAGAAATGTAGGACTTCACGAAGTGCACCCACATTGCGTAATGGGAGTCCCAGGAGAAGAGGAGAGGTAAAAAGGAGGAGACAGAAATTCAAAGAAATAATGGCAAATCCCACATCTGATTCAAAAAGAAACCAGTCTACACACTCAGGCAGCTCAGTGCGTTCCAAGAGGGACGAATGCCCGGAGATCCGCCCCCCCAGACCTCAATCAGTGACGAAAGCCAAAGACGCAGAGAGCATCTGGAAAGCAGAGGAGCCCGCACACCAACCTTAGCGATGGCACAGGGACAGCCTGAAGACTGACGGCTGACTTCCCGTTGGAAACAGTGGAGGTCAGCAGGCGGTGAATGAAAGACAAAAGCGTTCCCATGGATCGCACATCCGGTCAGCTCCCTTACAGCACAGAGGGCAACCTAAGGAGGTGAGCAGAAGCTGAGAGAACGTGTGGCCAGACCCGCCTTACAAGAAACACAGCGGATGATCAGGTCGCAGTAGCAACGCCAGGCAGCGACCTGTACCTGTTATGCCCAGAATTCGCGATCCCCAAAGACCACCAGGGAGCCGAGTCCCATGCAAAAGCAAAAGAGCCTTTATTCGAGCTAGCTCGAGCTCAGTCCCCTACCTGCACCGGCGCAGTGGTGAGATGCCGGGAGAGAGAGCGAGTTTCAAACGCACAAAGGTTTTATAGGGGTCTAGGGGCAGTTGGTGAGGTAATGGCTGTGGCCTCCGCCGATTGGCTGGGGAAGGGTTGTGGCCTTGGCCGATTGGCTGGGGAAGGGTCGTGGCCTCAGCTGATTGGCTGGGGAAGGGCCGGAGTCCTGTGACGCAGGTCGCCGGGCGTGTTTTGATTGGGAAGTTTGATCCGGTGAGCGGGAGGTTACTCAAGGGGAGGAGGCGTGGTCTGAGATTTCTGCGATTTTCTCGGAAAGGGGCCCAGTCGGGGACATAGTCACTCAAGGTGGAGGACACGGGACAAGATGGAGTCGGCTGAGGTAGGTCCGCTCTTTTATACCCACGCGCGATAGCAGGGAGCACCAGCGACAAGGATTGCGTCCATCATCACCCAGTTGTGTCCGTGGCCCAGGTCTTCTCCTGACTCATTTAATTTTTTTTTTTTAACGTTTTATTTATTTATTTTTGAGACAGGGAGAGACAGAGCAGGAACGGGAGGGTCAGAGAGAGGGAGACACAGAATCTGAAACAGGCTCCAGGCTCTGAGCCGTCAGCCCAGAGCCCGACGCGGGGCTCGAACTCACGGACCGCGAGACCATGACCTGAGCCGAAGTCGGACGCTCAACTGACCCAGGCGCCCCTCCTGGCTCATTTAAAAAGCAGTTTCACAAACAGGATGTACATAGCGTATTGTTACGCCCATAACGTGCAGAGACGCAGCATATTCGACGAGAGCCGCCCCCCGGAGGCGGGGGGGCGGGGGGTGGGGGGGGCGCAGCCGCACTGGGGTAAGTTCTTACCAAATAACCGACTCATTACAACTTCATTAAGTTACACGGAGACGGG